GTACTTTCCTCCCAAAGTTTTAAGTCAGTGACATTATTGATGTTCTTCACATTTTTGTAAGGATTGTGCACTCTGAATTATTCAACAGTAATTCCTTAGTTGAGTTTTTTTCAAACACGGTGCCAGGAACATGTACATGTGTGTGCATGTTCTCTTTGAAGAAGTCATGGGAGTCAGTCTGAAGGAGGAAAAGGGTAACAAAATAAGCTTAGAGCATGTTTTCATATAAAACAGAGGCAATACCGCAGTCCTCTGGTGGCAAAAAAAAAAATAAAAAAGAGACAGAAGTTTTTGCAGTCTTGGCCAACTGGTTAGAACTTCCTCTCATTCCATTCCAGCCTTGGTCAACTGGTTAGTACTGGTTGCAGCACCATCAGACCACTTGCTGACATGCCACAACTCCTTAAGATATCAAAAGCTACTCATTTCTTGCTGAGCTCCATTTCTGCCCTTACAGCGAGGTGTGACTAAGCTTAGGAGGGCTACAGTGAGGGCCAGAAGCAGCACATGTTCTGCAGAAGAAATGTGTGTCCAGAAGAGAAGGTGAGAAAGGGAACTTGGCTCTTTTAATATTGGTAAACTATTATGTCAGCTCTTGTCAAACCATACTCTAGGGAAGACATACTCCCTGTCTTTGCCACACAATCGACAGAGAGACAGGCAGCACCCCCTAGGAATGATTCAGAGCAATAGCCATTACTCCCTTTGAGTCACCATTTGGAGGAGTTGTTTCCCTGTAAATCATGAGGCAGCCTGGAGAGCAGACTTTGTTGCTAGGCAAATTCTGCATTTAGGAAATGTTTCTCAGTCAAACCAGGTGGTCTGCAGCACTTGCCAGATGATTTGCAATGTTACTTTGCAATCACTGGGTACGGTTTTATATGAAATTCAACAGGTGATTACGACCCACTAGGAGCACTAAAAGAACAATAGTAGACAGTTCTTCAAGGTGCTGAACGTGTATTACTAATCTGACAGAAGACCATCCACTTTTTCCCATATTGGCCTATGTTCCTGCTGGTGTAGTTAGTTGAACTCGCTCTCCAAGTATAACCAAGTACAACCAGAGGTGGCAGGAGCAAGCTGAATGGTGAAGGTGGATGAGGGGAGCAGAACTAGAGGTGGCTTGTTAGCAATGAGGTGCTAGATCAGCTCACCTCATCCCATAGGAAATCATGGGATATAAAGGCTTGTCTAACTTTTAAATGAGTGCAAGATCTAACACTCATTTAAGAGGTGGCCAAACCAGCATGAAGTAACCTGGAACAGCTGCAAGTTCTCCCTTAAACTTCCACAGTGTTATACAGCAAGAAAATGGCAGGCCTGAGAATGCAATCTAAGGGTCCCTCCCATGGGCCTCCCTCTTGACTTCGACTTGCCTCCCTTTTCAACCAGCCTGTGGTTTCTCTAAGGCATGCCAGGAACCCTTCCAGCTGTGCTAACTCTAGCAGTGATGCTGACATCCATTTGCTAGGAACTGGACTGAGACCAACAGCTCCTTTTGTATCTCCCCACAGTCATTACCACTTCTTCACTATTGACTTGGACAAGATTCAAACCAGTTGCCTATGGGTGAAAGGTTCCTTGTCCCATCATGAATTCCACGCTCCCTCTTTTCCCTAGTTTCTGCCTGTCATCTCCTGCCCCTTCTTCCCCCCCAGTGGCTCTCTGAGCTTCTTGACCATTTTCAGCTGTCCCACAGTTCCAACTCTTTTGGCCTATATCCAGCCTTCTGATCTCCAAAACCTGCTAGTCCTTTTTCCTTCATCCTTCCTGCTTAAATCAGATTCTCTCTGTCCTTGAGCTAGACTGCCCTTGTATTGCTTTTCCTCCAGCTTCAGTATCACTGGCACCAGTCTCAGCTTCTATAATAAACCAGTGTAGACTTCTCTGTCTCGGTCCCAGGTTCTTCTCTGTCCATGTTTCACCACATGGAGGAGCTGGACTGTCTTACCCACCCTTTGTCTATGGCCAAGGTGATCCACAAAGACTTGGAACTGTGGTGGGAAATGTTGCACTGCCATTCTAGCACTTTGAGGACCTACACTTGTTTCTGGTTTTGGTTTATGATCACTGCTGCCTGGTGTCTAAATAAGGGGCAAGAGTCTTCTTATCATGAAAACTGCCTGACTTCACCCCTCACCATTCAGTTCACATGTATTTAGCCAAATAAACACAATATTCTAGCCTACAATGGAGCCATTCCAGCAGTAATTAAATGTATAAATGTTTCAGAAACAAATTCATCACATAAATAAGACTCCATTTGCAACCAAATTATTTAAATCTGTATATTTGCCAAGAACCTTCATTATCATATGTATTGTATTTTTCATTTAAGAGATAAAATATGAGGGTTATATCCTAATACCTTGACATTTGGATGTGATTTTTAAGCAAGTACATAGCTGGGTTTAGAAATCAAATCCGAGCCAGGCACATGCTTCTTTTTCTGGACCAGAAAAAAGTGCCACATGGCAAATAGCTGAACTTTAATACATGTGATCTCCAATACCTGAAGGCTCTTACACAGCCACGAGGATTGGTTGGTTATGATCAATGTATTGTCATTGCATGTGACAGCTGCTTCTCAAGCCCTCACTTCTTGCTAACTTCTCATTCAGATCCTCTGCTCTGTTCTGGGGTATTGTAGGACTGAAGTAGTCCAGTGAAGCTGAAAAGTACCTGAGTGAGAAGGTTTTCAGGATTGGGAGGGGAAATTCTCAAGCAAACCCATTCACCCACCCTGCAAACATTTTGTTTTGCAACCATAATTTCACCTTAGAATAACTCCACTAAAACAACACAAATTCTAGGTTTAATTACTCAGTGGTAATTCTCTTTTCTAGCATGTGCTGTAACATTCCTTAAGAACCATGGGTTTATTCCCTTAAAAGAAACTTCAAGTATCAGACACATTGCAAATGTTACAGGTGATGAGATTATTTTGGTAATTTCAAAATGAGAGAAGGTCACCTCCTGGAACGCTTGCTTCACCAGGTTTTGGAAAGTTATCCTCTTTCTAGCAGAACTGGCTCCAGATCAGACCAGACTCCAGTGTCTCTTGGACAGAAGGTTCCCACAAGTTTGTACATAAGTTATGTGGTCTTTGTGGCATATGAAGGCCAAAACAACAGTGAAGAGACAGTGCACATCCAGCTCCTCCAGGCTACACAAATACCAGCTTGAAAGTTTGGATTTGTTACGAAAATAATCATAATCATCAGATCAACTGTACATAAGTTACCCTAAATGCACATGTATAACATGGGAAACCTTTTAAAAATTAGTCACAGGTTGTTCTCATTATAAAATTTATTGTATTTTAGACTAGTAATTTATTTCTTTAACTATGTTTCACTGTAATAATATTTAATGTTGTAAAGCATGTTCTTTCCAAAACAGAAACTTGTTATATAGATGAGCACACCATGTAGTTATTGGGATAATTATTAGGACAAATATCTTTCAGACAAAATTCTTGCCAAAAACTATGTCTCAAATGTTTCCTTTCAAGCAACTCAAAAAAAAAAAACAAAACCAAAAACAAAGCCCAAACTTTTAAAAGTAGTCAAATTACATATTCTTTCATTTAAGTTAGTAATTCTTGCTTAAAAAAAAAACCTACAATATTTTCTCCAATTTTCTAGTGTGGAGAGAGTGTATAGAATTTTATATTTTGTTTCATTTTAATGCACATTGCAGAATATAAAGTGCATATTAAAGGTCAACCTTTAAGTCAGAGATAAAAGCAACATAGATGGTGAAACAAATGCATTTTAGCAAGATTAGTAAATCCTAATCTCAAATAGGCTTAAATCATGACTATTTGCATATTAAAATATACACAAATTACATCTGTTTAATCCTTAAGAATTATTATATACTTTAAGCATAGTCCTTAAAAGAGGCCCTATCCTTTTACTTGGTGAAATTTAATGAATCAAAAACTCCTTTTAAAAAAAATCCCTGTATGATGCTGAGGGGGTGAAAGGAAGCAAGTATTAATAAGACTATTTTATGCCAAATAGAAGCATTAGGATTCATCCTTGTAATTACCATATATTTCTTTGGGCACTTCCTGACTGCAGTAACTGATGTTTTTTCCAAAATTAAGTCAGGCCATAGAAAAGTTCATCTGAGACAAACAGAATAATTTCAACACTCTGCATCTCTTTGGGACATACGCTAATTTTATAATAAAAGCAAGGCCTTTTGGCTCAGTTTGCATTCACTCCAGCCAGTAAAACTTCCTCTGGCCTCAGTGAGAGCACAATTGGACTCTTTCTACAGCTAAGATGACAAACTATCATTCTGTTAAGCAGCATTCAAAACAGTAATTGAGGTCTTGCTAAACTTGACAGATACCATAAGCAACTCAAAGAAAACAGTAACAGCTGTTACTGTTAAATTAATATGTTAACCACTGTTTTACAAGGGTAAATGGAAGTCTTAATTTTCTCCTTGCCTTTACTACACACATGGTATAATTAAAAACATTTTGCTAAATTTGTACTCATTACATGTTCTTTACTATAACTCAGTTCAAATTAGTAATGTTATGGTTACATGTTTGTCTAACAAATTACTTGTTTTAGCATTTTAGCAGGAGTAAAACAAACTCAGGAAAGCACGATTCACCTGATCACAGCCGCACCTTCCCCAGCTCATGATAAAAATTGCAGTGTCTGAAGCAACAACAATGTAAAGCAGCTAAATCAGCAACAGACACTGCCATGAGCATACAGGACTTAACACTCAGAAATACCAAATATACAGTGTACATATTTGAAAACAAATACCATTTGAAGACCAAAAAGCCCTCTTCTGGAAATGTTAATGGATACAGTGGCTGATCCTTCGAGAAACCGGCTTTTCCGTCACTTTCAGTGGGATTACTCATGCAACAGGTTTTCAGCCCAAGACCTCAAGTACTCTGATTTCTGGCCAGGTTCAGATTTTTCTCACACCAAAGATCATGTGAAAACGCAGGTACTTACACAGCAAAATGATAGATAAAACACTTCCATCCACTGGGCCTCTCCAGGAAGTTGTAGACGTCTCCCTGAGTGCTGGTTTTAGTTAAATAGCGGCCACGGAAACACTCCACGGTGCGGGCCCTGCTGGCCTCACCTTCCGCCAAGGCTGCAGCCTTTGTGCCTTCCTCAGGGTTCTGGGGAATCCTGGATCCGTTATTCATGGAGATTTCTGGATCCAGCGCCACAGAAGAGTACTGCATGCTGCTTAAGTTCCCCCTGGCTTCCAGCAATGCTGCAGATTTCCTATTTCCATTCACACTGCTCAGCTGAAAAGTGGAGCCTTGTTCCTCCCCACAGCGGTTATCCATGGGGTACCCAACAGTTTCTCCACTATCGCAGGACATTCTGTAACAATGCACAGGTATTACTAACTCTGATCAATATTTAAAATCATGAAGAAGGTATTGTATGTCCTCCCTGTTCAGTGTGTTCTCCAGCAGCTGATGACTTTGTGCTGTTATCACAGAGCTTCGCTGTGACACAAGTGTGAGCTGTCAGCCTGTCACCTGCTGTCACTCACAGCCTCTGAAATTAAATCAGAAAAATGTATCAGACAATGACACGTGCTAGACACCAGATGTAACAAGAGTGTCTGGGAAAGGAAAGCGGGAGACTTCTGGAGGAAGAAAGAAAATTAAGATTCAAAGTTACATTAAGAAAGAACATTAAAACTATTTAAATAATGCAACACTCGTAGAGCAGCAGAGCTGTCTTGAGACTTGATCCTATGAGATCATTTTAAGCTGAGTAGTTCTTAAAGTGTCCTGATTAGAGACAAAACTGTGAAAATTTCCTGGAACTCATAAACTTGCTGTTGCCAAAACACACCCGATTGAGGTTTGAACTTCAACACCTACACCTCAAGAGGTCTTAAGTCTTTAGGACTTGAATAAATTATTTCAGTCACCTCATGGCATCCGATCTTGCAGTCCATGGTACTCTGGAACATTTTTTCTCAAGTGTAAAAAGGATGATGTCATTAACGACAACTGATATCAGGAGGTTATTATTACTAGAAAGAAAAAGATCAAGGACTGCTGACCTGATTCTCAATTTTCCTCAACCCATTTCATGTTTGCAGCTACTCTTAAACAAGTACTTATTAAAAACAGAATACACAATAAGGTTTTTCTAGATCAACATATGTTTCATATGGCAGACTTAAATTGCTGCTAATACTCAGCAGAGTATTTTAATTTAATTTACTATTTTAATTAATTAATAATTTTGTGAGAATGAGAGCATCTGTCTTTTGCACTGTTTTATATCTTACATACCACCATGAAAAGCTTCCTCATTTGAAATACCTCGCTAAAATGAAAATACGAAAACATTATGAAAAGATGAGAATATTAAAAGTATCATGAGAGGTGACTTTAACTTCAATGCATTGCTGATGTTAATGTCAAAATTACATCTGTAATGTCACATTATAATGTACTGTGTTATCTGCAATATAAATCCCACAAATTAGGGTGTTGCAGCTGACCGCTCCTCTGTCAGAAGAGATTCACATCCACATTTTGAGTTACTTCAGCTTCAGCAGAATAGAGTATTTTAGAGAGAGAGAATTTCAGCCTTCACCCTCTCTTTTTAAACGAAGCTTATTTTTTGTTGTTGCTTAAAGATCTTCTTGCGTGAACTATCATCTGAACAGAGTCCTCCAAGTTACTCCACAAAATATTTACATCTATGCATTCTAACATGATTTGTTACACTGTGCTCATTTCTTAACACTGGTCATGGAAAGGCAAATATCAGTTCACATTTCTACAACAGTCCTACAGCAGATAGAGAAATACATCCTTTCCCTCATCAGTTTTCTTAAACAAAAGATGGAGGAACCAAACATTAAAATTAAAACACAAAACCCTTCATCCAAGTCAACCTACAACAAGTACATAAGAAGTACCAATGAGAAGTATGTTCATCATTTTAGGACGCTGAGGCTGCCCAGACAAGTGCTTGTAGCAAAGGCTGGCTACCCAGCAGTGGCAAACAAAGTACCTGATACGCCTTTGCTGGTTCACCAAAATAAGGGATCCCACAGACACAGAAACCAGCTGTCAAATAGCACCTACTTTCTCCTGCTGTGTGTCCTATTCCTTCTCTTGGCTGTTGCCTCAGCTCCATACAGCAGATTTCCTGGATAGGTACAGGGAGAGGAGTTGCTGCCTGGCCCTGCCCCCAGCTTATCAAGTCCCACCCTAAGGAAGGCAGGGTCCCTCCCTTTTGGCTGCCTTATATGGCTGCCCTTGCAAAAGGCAGAGAAAGAACCAGGGAACGGCTTGGACGACTTCAGAGAGAAGCTACTTCTGCCTCTTCCTGTTGTCAAACCCAGCAATCATAAGCAACAGCTTAATTTTGCTGAGGATCGCGGTCCTTTCTCTCCCAGGCCTTTTCTTATCTGCATACACTTAATTGCAATGGGTTAAAAGCAGCATTTCCTTTATTGCACATCTTTAAACCCTGAATGAGGTGTTACTTGTAGTTGCAGCAGACTTTTACATTGAGTAAGTCTAAACAGGCAGCTTCAGTTGTTTGGGTTTTTTTCCATCAAAGTTTTGGCAAAGCCAAAAGCAGCACTTCATTGTTACATTAAGTAATGGAAAATCAGAGTTCACAAATGTTGTTGCCTTTCTGAACTACAGCTCATCTTTTGTATTAATTTGGGAGGAAGAAAATCCCAAACATAACCATTCCAGCATCAAACTCCTCATTTTATTGTTGAACTTTCTATTCAGGAATGAGAAAGTGAATACTGCTATTTGTCTCTTTTTCTCCCTTTTGTAACAGAAAGCAGACTATTGTCTTCAATGCCAGCATAAGCTGCTTCCCACTTTTCCAGAGCGACATGGCCAAGAATGGAACAAAGGTAACCATTTCACCTTATGGTACCATCAGTGGGGGAACGTTGCCATTGCACAGTCTTCAACTTTTGTCATAATTGTTCATGGGGCTCTTTCTTTGGAAAGTTCCAGAAAGTTACTTTCTTGGTTTCCCAGTTATATTTCCATACCACTGGAAACAAAACAACCAAAACCAAAACAAAACCTCTTAGTTCCTTTCTTCTTTCTTTTTTTTTTTAAATACACAGTCTGATTTTACTTCTCTAAAAATCAACCCCTCCAGAACATTTTCCTTGTACTGCAGGTGAGCAGACGTTGAGAACTGAAAGCTGACTGGAGTCATACAAATCCTCCTCCAGGCTTTTGGTCATGCTTGTTCCTTTAAATTCTTTCAGTATCAATTACTACATTTCTGCTCTCTGCTCTGTTAACGTTTCCTGAATATAATTATTCAAGCTCTACAAAAGTAGCTTTAAAAAAAACCAACCTACAAAACAAAACAAAATACCCCAATGAAACACTAATTATCTTGGATATTTTAAAGTTAAAAATAAGTTTCCTCTGAGGGAAAAGTAGTACCCAACTTTACTGCAAATGTAGAAACTCAACATAATAGCAGCAGGTCTGAAACCGTGGCAGAATTAGAAACCAGAGCACCTGTCTCCTATTTCTTGATCGAGGAAAAGATGATTTAGTTAAAATTTTATTAGACTAAACTGTATAAGACGTGAACTCACTCCTTCACATATCCCCCAAATGTAGCAGCACATCACATCTTTGGGTCAAAAATCTCAAAAGGCAGTTAGTCACCTAAGTAATTTATTACTTATGTGAAATGCATGATTTCAGGAATGTCTAAATGTTGACGTTTTCATTGGTAACATTATATTATATATAACACCCGGCAACTGCATATATACAAATGTGTGGCTTTTATGGCTGGGCTTACTTCGTGTGTTTAATTTTCATGGGTCTGGTGGCGCCCACGTGCTCAGAGAGCCCATCTCCCTCACCCTGACAGCACTGCATTTAGCACTAGGCACAGCAAACTTGGTAATTTATAACCAAAAGGCCGGGACAGGGAGGCACAGGGAAATGTCTGGCTTTGAGATGCATATTTGGATCCCTTCTTGATGAGAAGACACTTCTCAGGAAAGTAACCTAAACACAGCACCACTGACATCATCCATCGCTGTACCCTCTGGGGGTCATATTTTAGAAGAAAAGTGTGAATGAGTCATGCTAGAAACATAAAGGGATAACATGGAACCCAAATCCTAGAAAATATTTTGAAGGGTAAATAATAGATGAGACTTGCAAAACATTCCCGCGCTCCTCTGTTCATTTCGAATTCCATTCTCCGGATGTAAGCTTTCTGCATACTGCGCTCTGGAGCATCCGCTTTGGGTCTGTGAACTACACTTCCAGGACTGGATACCTAGAAGTTGGACACAGCTGAGTTCACTGCTGAGTAGCTGCAGGATGTTTTCCCAGCAGTGATCATGTAAGAGCACGTATTCAGCTTGTTGTGCCCAGGCTGCCTTTAAGGGGCAAAATGCCAACCTTTACTTTCTGCTTAAGCTTTCCAGCCTGGTGGGCTAAGGGTCTTACAAGTAAACCAAAGCTTACTCTGCATAACTAGGGATCTTGAAATGAGGTATAGGCTTGAGCTTCAAGGTCACATTACAGTACTCCCTGTACTTTTCATTTTTGAATGTGGGGCAGTATGTGTCTTGCAAATATGTCAGGCAGTTGTCTGTAGAGCACTTTTCTTTGGTTAGTCCTGGTAAAAGAAGGAAACTCATGATTTCAAAATGGTTCTTCAGATTAGGTTGCTTGTGAAACTGGGCCAGCATCTGGAGTAACAGTTGTGAACTCCTGTCCTTACTTTCATTTACTCTCAAATCAGTGATTTACATCACTAAAGAGCTATGGGCTAGTGTGTTCTTCCACAAGGTGGGTGTATCTGTGGGATGTTGAATGGGAAGCATCTCTGATACAAAAAAATGCGTGTGTGAAGAAGGTGTAAGGACACCATGGAACGGCATTGTCAGGAAAAGAAGACACTGCTCCCAGGCATTGGCTGTGTATAATTCTTAAATGTTTTGTGTGATTCGTTATTGCTAAGTCTGCTAGCATTTATCTATATTAAAAACTAAAATGGAAATTCTGAAAACTTGTTCTTTAAATTGCTGTTCCATGATGCTCCTTCAAGGCTGTATGTGAAATCAGCACTTAGTTGGAGAGGTCGATGGACATAAGCCATTCAGATCAGGTGGGGACCCCCCCATCTCTTCAGGCTGTATCAAAGAGTTTGTCACCTGCCCCCCACAATCTGCCACAACAGGCAACTGTCTTTTCCACTTGCCTTTCAACCATATTTAGCAACAATAAATCCATCCAAAGGCCAGCTGGGGCACGTGGGATAGCACTGCACAATGCCTTACAA